CTTTGGTAAGTTTTTACTTAGATCTATGATTTAACTTCTTAATCTCTTCAAAAATCTCCTCTTACCACCTCAAATTCGTGACCATGCTCCCTAGAACTCATCAAGATTTGAAGATCACTTCAAGAAGCTAAATAGAGTCATAACTTACACCACCTTCTTCTTATCTTCATCAAAACCGAAATCCAAACCCCAAGGTGAGTTCATACCCCCTTGATTTCTGTTTTCACTTGTTTTTGGGGGGAGAATACAAGTCATATGTGTAGATCTATGTATTTATGCTTGACTATGTGTGTTTTCTTGAAACATTTGGTGATTATGTGTTGATTCCTTCACTAATCTAAAAAGATGTTAAGAAACTTGAAGTGTATCACTAGGATCTCCATATGAATCATGAGAAAAGTATGTTTTATCACATATAATGCATTTAAACTTTTAGATCTGGGATTTGTACACTTGAAATAGCAAAAATGAGTGTTGTATTCAAAGATCTATAAGCTAAACTCACAAAACAGCCCTTGACAGGAAAGTTTTGGTCCAATCTCGGACTGTTTTGACCATCCAAATGGAAGTATTTTTCAAAACTGTTTTACATGGATAAAGTTCAGGTTTATACCTTTAAAATGACTACTCGCACGTTTTCATACGATTTTTCTGCAATTTTTGGCGAATTTTACAAAACTGCCTATCATATTTGAAATAATTTTGGACCAACCTGTGAAGATGAACAATTTCACACTTGTTAGAAGCCATCAAAAATTATGAGAAAATTTTGGAACAAAATAGACAAGATTTCTAAACTTTGATAGTTTACGGATCCAATTTTCGACTTACGATGATTTTTCTACAAATTTTCAAACAACTAGGTCGAAAAAGTTCAAAAATCAGAAAATATGCGTTTTCACATAACTCAAGTTAAGAATGTTGTTTTTGACAATAAGGGATTTCAAAATGTTGTTTTCACTACAAAATAGTTATCAAAACAAGTTTTGAACAAAATGGAGACCAAATTGTTATTCTTATAAAAAAAATTGGGCCTTAATCCTAAAGTTTTGGCTTATTGGGCCAAGAGCATCATTTTACAAAAGTGGGTTTTAGATTTCAATCATGTAAATAATCAATACCAAAACAAACAAAACAATAACTAACACGAACCCGACACGATGAAATACTAGTACCTCGCCTATCGACGAAATACAATACATTACAATACCAAAAGTCGTTGTCAAACGAATTGGTTCGGTCTCGAACCAATAACAATCCGAAACTACTAACACGGCGACACTATGACATTACGACATTACGATTCATAACTAATAACGATTGGGAAGTCACTATACATGCGAGTGTGCACAGACGTCTACGCACCATCTTTGGGCCCCAAAAGTGTAAAATCTTGTTTGTTGAGCCTAGCTAGCCCAATGACCTGATCTTAAGGCCCGAAGACCTCTCTCTTACGAAGTGTTGGGTTTTACCGATCCGACATAACATAAAAGGACTTTCAATGGAAAACATGCTGCTGGTCCCCAAGGGTCCTTCAGTGCTGCTAGTAAAGTCTGTAACTCACGATTGCGGGTTGGGCTTCAGGCCCTTCGCAATTGCAATGGTCTTGAACGACGCGGGGAAATACCGAGGGTTTCGCACCTTCTCTTCTTCCCTCCGGTCGTGGGACTACACAAGTCCGGGAGGATTGAGTGGTGTGAAGAATTACGAGTGACGCCTAAGGGATCGCTTGTAAGGTTGTCGATTGGACGTTTTCATTAACGCACGTCACAACACTTCACCACCCACTGTATTCTCAATGCCTCCGGAGCTCAACGGTTTCCTCTAACACAACGAAACAACGGTACACAAACTAAGTAAAGCAAAGTGATAGGAAAACGTCGGGTTTTCCTAGGGTTTTCAACTAATACATTTACGAATTTCATGCCGAATTTTACAACTCGTACGCTTACATCTATAGAAAACAAACAAGCATACTTACGGATCCACACATTTTTTTTTTACCATACTATTTTCAGAAAATATCGGATTTTCTGGTGGTTTTCGAAACGATACAAACATTGGATTTCAAACATTACTTATGAACTCACCAACATTTCATATGTTGATGTTTTTCAAAATACTTGTATTCTCAGGTAACAGATAAGTCGAAGGGATAAGTGTACTCAGTGACGTTTTGCTGCTTGTTAAATTAGTACCGAACAATCTACTTTTTGGGCATGTAATGTTAGGGAACAATGTACTAAATGTAAATGCTACCAGTTGTATTATTCCAATGTTTGGTGATGTATGATGTTATGTTTCATGTATATTCATTGTGATGGTATTCAATTGAGTCACAACAGCCCCCAGATGTTTCCGCCGTCTGGTTCGGGGGTGTGACAATGAGATTCATATTTGCTCCCACGGGTACCCCAAGATACGTAAAGGGAAAGGAACCCACTTCACATCCAAGGATGTTGGCCTAATTCAAGGTTTCATTTACTGGTATACCAATTCCAAATACTCTTGATTTGTGAAAATTTACCTTTAATCCGGAAGCAACATGAAAACACCTCAAGATCTGAGCCAAGTTTTTGAGATTGGATCTAGACCGCTCACCCACAAACAATGCATCATCCGTGTAAAACATATCAGTGAGAATGGGCCCATTATTATGTAATTGAGCACCATTAAAGATCCCTTTATCTCTAGCTTCCATCAAAGCCGCATTGAGTCCTTGCATTGCTATGATGAAAAGGAACGAGGAAAGAGGGTCACCTTGGTGGACACCTTTTGAGATCTCGAACTCATCCATCGGAGAACCATTGATCATAACCGACGCACAAGAAGATTGTAAGCACCCACGAATCCAAATCCTCCACTTATTCTCAAGTCCCATTTGTGCAAGAATAGAATCAAGATACCCCCATTTGATTGAGTCAAATGCTTTGTCGAAGTCCACCTAGAAAATCAAAATTTTCTTTTTCACTCTCTTAGCCCATGAATATAGCTCATTGATCACCAACGGACCATCAAGAATGTTCCTACCTTCAACATATGCAGACTGGACATCACCAATGACCTTACATATGATTGTTTTGAGGCGTGCAACTAAGATCTTCGAGATAATTTTGTACATACAACCAATGAGGCTGATAGGATGAAATTCGAAGAGAGAGGAAGGGTCTTTTACCTTGGGTACAAGTGTTATGAATGAAGAATTGCACCCCCTGGAGATGGTTCCAAATTTTTCAAAGTGTAAAACGAAGTTTATCACATCACACTTTAGAGTATCCCAGTATGTTTTGATGAATTTAAACATGAATCCATTTGGTCCAGGTGCTTTCTCACCACCACACGCCCATATTGCACCTTTCACTTCTTCAAGAGTAAATGGTGCTTCTAACTTAATTGCAACCATCGTGGAAATTGATTTCAAGAGCGAGCTAGTGAACTTGGGCCTTAAAACGTGAGTCTCAATGAATTTATTTTTGAAGAATCGTAGAGCTTCACCTTTGACTTCAGCCATAGAAGTAGCCCATCTGCCATTTACCATTAGCCCATTGATCTTGTTCCTTCTGCTTTTTCCATTTATGTATCTGTGAAAGAACTTAGTGTTTTCATATCCCTCCACAACCCATTTGACTCGTGATTTCTATTTCAGGTCTAATATCGCTATTTTTTCCAATTCTAGAATTCTTTGAAGCCCGTGATTGTGTATCACAAGCTCAGACTCAGTTAACTGTCTAGATTCCGCCAACCTTTCTAGTTGTGCAACATCATCTTTGATTCGTAGTATTTCTTGATTTTCTGCCTTATCTGATTGCTTCTTCCATTTTTTTATCCCCCCTTTCAGATACTTGAGTTTGGCAGTCAAATACAAGTCTGGACTGCCATACCCCACAAAGCTTTCCCATGCCATATGAACTGTATTATCAATTCTAGCCATCAGTATCCATGAGTTGAATAGTTTAAATGGAGGTGGTCCAAAGTCAGTGTCTTACGAAATCAAGGTTATTGGGTTGTGATCTGATAGTTCATGGGTATGTGTAGTGACCACAATTGATGGAAATGCATTAAGAAAGTTTGTGCACGCGAGGAACCTGTCCATTTTGCTATGTTTGGCACTTACTCTAGCCATAAATGTGAATTTTTCGCCACCCATGCCAAAGTCTCTAAGCTCTGCGTCTAGAATGAATTTGTTGAAGGCAGATGCACTTGCTAAGCAAAATAAAGAGTTGAATCTTACATCTTTCCTCCTAACTGCATTGAAGTCACCAAATAAAACCCAATTACCTGATTTTGATCTTTTAATTGAATTCAGATTCCTCCATAAGATTTTTTTATCACCAATGCCATGTGGCCCATAAATATTAGCAAGAATGGTATCTCCATTGATGCCAGTCTAGGTTCTAACAATAATGATAAACTAATTAGACTTTATTACTTCTTTTTTCTTAAAAAAATGTAATGTTCCATATTAAGACTAACCCTCCAGACCTCCCATCTGAGTCAACACCTTCATAATCATAATCTTGATCTCCCCAACAAGTAGTTATGTCTAAGTTTTCATGATGAGTTAATTGTGTTTCTTGAAGCCCTATGAAATTAGATTTGTGGAAATTCCTTAACTTCCTCACCCAATTCACTTTTACAGCCACCCCAATGCCTCTTAGATTCATGGAAAATCAATTTATTGGATACGTTGTTCCTCACCAGTAACTCCAAGCATCTCAGCAAGAATTACATTACTTACATCAATTTGGAATCTGATTGCAGCCCTAATATCTACTATTTGCTCAATTTCGTTTGAGTGGAAATCCATTGTAATAGTTTCAGGTATGTCCATTGGTTTCGAATTGGTTGGATTCATGTTCAAGTTCAAATCAAGGCTATCTGATGTGAGGTTGTCTAGATTTGATCAATACCCGAAAGTGGGTTCAATGTTTGTTTATGTGTGGACCAAATTAAAATGGAATGAAGGGGTTTGATTTGTGAATAGGCGCACATTATCCCACTTACGTTTTTTTATTTGGTCCACACATAAACAAACATTGAACCCCTTCATTCCATTTTAATTTGGTCCACACATAAACAAACATTTGAATCACGATCAAATAAGAATTCATCTTTTTTAGCCTTCTGAGAAGTAAACGAGAATGTACGAGTGCCATTATTTGTTGGTAATGGCCCAAAGCACCCAAGGGCGAACAAATTTTCAATTGTCCCAAGGATCGGAGTTTTCTTAGGCCCAAAAGATGAATTAGGGTCCATAAGGGAAACAATGGGAGTTGTAATGACTGTGACACAGGGGCTATGGAATCGGGGATTTCAACTGTCTCCAATACTTTGGGAGGGGCGACGACATTAGCTGTAGGATCGAGAATTGCGCCCAACAGTTCATCAGCATGAAAGTCACCTACCGGCGCGGGCATCGTTTTGCCAGAATTAATCTGAGCTTCCGTCGTTGGTTTCGTCGCCATGAATACCAGAGTTTGATCAGGTCGGAATTTGCCTTATTCCGGTTCGTTTTCTTCTCCATCCATCGATGTTTCTGAAATCCCTTCATAATCTTCTTCCTCATCTTCGGATTCCTACACCTTATCAAAGGGGGCGGGTTTGAATGGTGACCAATCATCTGTGTATTCCACCACATCTACTCTATATTCCTTGTCACTGACCTTAATCGTAACCTCTTCATTAATCCATGTTCTTCTTACTGTTAGGATCCCAACCTTCCCCATGGAGTGGTCCTTTCTACTTGAGATTGAATCAAATGTATTTATAACCTTACCAAACCTACTTGTGTTGGGGCTTATTATGTTGCGTCTTAGGGCTTTTTGTATATATCCAGATTGGGCCTGTCCATCCGTGATTATCTTGTAGGGTTAGACTATATATATATATATATATATATATATATATATATATATATATATATATATATATATATGCATGCATGTATGCATTATTGTCAGACGTCTTTTTAATTACGCTTGAGTTTTGTAACCCTAAAACACCTCTATAGTCTAAGTTCTTAATCGAGCTCTTCTGAGGTGTTGAAGCATTAATCATTCAAGGTATTCAAGCCATATTAATTTTTACATTTACGTACTTATTTGTTTGCATGCTTAGAATCAATCGATCCTGAAAGAACTATGTTCTAACAATTGGTATAAGAGCAGGAGACTGTGTGATCAATACACATTCCTTCTGTATTCAGAATTCCTTAGGGTTTCCGCTTTTATCGTATAAATAAGAAGTCGTCTTCTTTGTTTTGATGGAAACTTTGTTTTAGATAAAACCCTAATCTCAAGTTTACAGGTTTGATTCTAAAAGCTCGCCATGTCTCACAAAGATTCGCAAACAAATCCCATCAACATCTCAAACAGCATTGGATCTACAACCAGGATACCCATTCTCTACACTCAAGACTACGAAGTATGGCCACATCACTTCGAAGACTATGTGGTTGGATCTAAAGAAAACGGCTATCTCATCTGGGAAGCTATCACACTTGGGCCGTTTGTTCATTCAGGAACAAACACAACCATCAAAACGCAAAAGGAATATAACAAGTTGGTTGCTGATGAACAAAAGATTCCACAAGATGAAAAAGACAAGCTGTTGTGTAATGTGAAGGCCATGAGAATGATAAGATTTTCTTTGCAATGTGACACTTTTCGGTTGGTCGGTTCATGCACGACGGCTAAAGAAATATAGGATAGGTTGAAGGAGCTTTATTCGACTGATGAAGATCTAGAACACTCCATTCAAACCTTGCTGTTGTCAGAATTTGGAGTTTTCGAACAGAAACTTGAAGAGAAGCTAATACAGACCTTTGATCGGTTCAATAATCTCTTAAGTAAGATGATAAAGCATGGAATAGAGAGGATGTTGATTGAGCAAAAAGTAACGTTCATGAACGGATTCAGACTAGAATGGATGGCTGTGGTTTCTACTGTAAAAGCACATGAACAGTTTAAGTCTTACTCGCTAGCGAAACTTGTGGGAATACTTAAGTCCCATGAAAGTGTCGTAACCAAAGAAGCAAAATTGGTTTTTGGTGTAGGATCGTTGCCTCATGTCTCAAAAGCAAAAGGTATTGCAGAAGATGAAGAAGAGTCGGATTTGTCTAAGTGTGACCTTACAAGTGAAGAGTATGCTATGATGGTCACCAATCCAAAGAAGTTTGCAAGAAGAAAATTTCCGATCAGTAAGAACCGAAACTGGCAGGGAAGTTACAGCTCTGAAAAGCTGAAGGATGAAGCGAAGATCTCTTCTCAAAAGGATGAAGACAAGAGGGAGAGCAAACTTGCAGGAGACTCTGGATACAACTGCAATTACTGTCATGTCAAGAACCATTTTTCCAAGGATTGCATACTGAGAAAAATGGCTGAGAAAAGAGATGGTGAAGATGATGAGGCGTACTACATCCGCAAGCTAGAGGAAATCAAGAACAAGAAGACAACTAACGGCGCAAAAGGTACTATGAATGTTTTAATTGTGTAGGAAAATGTCGATGAAGATGAGTTCGGTGGTGTGGAAGTTTGGTCACCCGACTCTGAAGATGAAGAGGTGAGAAAGCCCTCTCATGGAAAGACTTATGTAGCAAAGGAAGTAGGTTCGGCTGGGAAGTGCTTAATGGTCACCACTGGATCATCAACCGAAAGTACAGATGAAGAATCGAACCTGACTGAAAACAAATGTTTTGCAACAAAGCCCGTCAGTGAGCAGATCAACGATTGAGATCGTTTGATCAAAAAGGTACAATCCATCCTTGAATCACTTAAAGTTCCATTAACCAATTATGAAGAAGAATTAAATGAATTAAAATTTAAATTCACTAACTTAAGTGGTAGTCTCATGCAAACTCGCTTAGCGAATTCTAACTTAACTGACCAACTCAGCATGGTGTCTTTGAAGAGTGAGGAGAGAAGGATGTGGATTGAGCTGAAGGAGGCGGAGTTAATTAGAGCTAGGGATGAAAGTTTTTATTTGCAAAAAGACAATTTAAAGTTTTTAAAATAGAGAAATGTTTTTTTTAATTGCTAAGCATTTATATACTAATATAGCTCAATTGCATTTAAGTTGTGAGATAGGAAAGAAAATTCATAAGATGATTTTGCCATTCCTTGAATTTAAGGAAGACGAGGTAATAGCAGAATGTGAATCAGAAGTATCATCAGAAGAGACATCCATGTCATAAAAAATTGGACTGGATAAAATAGAAACCTTCGTTGATTCAAAGGAACACAAATGTATGTTAAAAGAAATCTTAGATGAAAATGATAAGTTGAAAACTAAGTCGGAAACTATTCACTCATTTGACCAATCCAATGCCAAACTAGCTTCTGAAAATAAATTAGACTTCGAACATACGTCTGAATTTTATGAAGAAAGTGAGATGAGTGAGATATATGTGGAAGACGTAGTTGATTGCTCTGAGTTTATGAAGAGAGAAACTAAGAATGAGAAACCACTAATCTCAGAAAATTCAATGGAATTTGTTCGTCTAGCAAAGGATAAGGAAAAGAAACTCAAAGAAAAGGCTGTACTTTATCAAAAGGTTCAAACTATGTCGAATCAGGTATATGCAGCTAAAGGAGTCACTTTTAGACAAACAGCAGAACTAAGAATCTTGGTGGAAAAATACAATGCAAAAGGGTGCGAAGATTTCTTCTGGTCTGCTCCTATTGATAATGCAGACGAAATTGTAGCCTTATCTGAGCAGACTTCTTGGAGAGTTAAAGGAAGATACGTAACTGAACCGATTAACAAACCCTCAAGTTTTGACAAACCAAGCACAAGTGGAACCAAGGAAATCCCTATGGAACCAAAAGAAGAACCGAAAATTCGAGTCAAAACAACCGAAACTCCAAATGAGATATCAAAGGCCAGCTTCAATATCCACAAATCGCAGAAGGAGCTAGCTAAACAGAAACGCTTAAGAAATCAAAGATATGCAAAGAATCTGAATGAGTGAAAAATTTAATGGCATTCCCAAAATCCCAACTATGTTCCTTCTAAGAAGATCTCAACAGACAATGGAAAGGAAAAAGTAAAGGAAAATTTCAGCCCAAGTTCATACTATTCAAAATCTAAGAACCGAAAGTCATGTTTCGGACCAAACATCACTCAAAACAGAAAGTCCACTTTCGGTCTGCAGACCAGTTTCGGTCCTAAGTCCACTTTCGGTCCCCCAACAAGTTCTAAACCTAGTTTCGGTCCTCAGTCAAGTTTCGGTTACACCAAGTCCCAAGGCAAAGCATATTCTAGGGAAGACATCAAAGGAAAAGGAAAGCTAACATTTGATTCTAAGATCAATAATAAGAAATCATCAGCTAATCCTAGGTGTCAAATGCCATCAAACAAACTAACCAACGAATTCAAATTCAAACAAGATAAAACCAAAATCAAAGTATATACAATTAAAAGAAAAGATCAAACCACTTTAGTAAAAAGAACATACTTGGTTGATATTTCTGTTGCAATTCCTTTTTCTGTGAAAAACTTACAAGGACCCAAGCGACTTTTGGTTCCTAAATCTGCTTGAATTTGCAGGTAATCAGTGACGAGCAGTTCGACGAAGAATGGTATATAGACAGTGGTTGCTCGCGTCACATGACATGAAGGAAGGAAGAGATAAGGGATTTTCGATCCCTTAAGGATGGTGGTTGTGTGAAATATGGAAATAACTGCTATGGCACAATCAAGGGATATGGTATGATAACAAATGGTGACTTCACGATTCGGAAAGTAGCTTATGTAGAAGGTTTGTAGCACAACCTCATTAGTGTGTCACAATTAATTGTGGGCACAGGTCTAAAAGTATCATTTGATGATGAGGGCTCTGAGATAATTGAGAAACAATCCAAGAAGGTTCTGTTGAAATCTAAACGTAAGGGAGAGATGTATCCTTTAAATCTCAATCCCATACGAGGAAAACCAACAATATATTTGTTGTCAAAGGCAAATACTGATGATAGCTAGTTATGGCATCGACGACTATCGCATCTGAACTTCAAAGACATTAATAAGTTGGTGCTTGATGATCATGTTCGTGGACTTCCTCTTCTCAAGTTCGATAAGGACCATCTGTGTACAACATGTGAAATAGGCAAACAAAGCAGAAAGATCCACCCTACATGAATCAACACAAAGATAATTGAAGCTCTTGAACTCTTACACATCGACTTATGTGGACCTTCAGCTATTAAAAGCTTTGGTAGAAGTAAGTATATTCTTGTAATCGTAGATGACTTTTCACGCTTCACCTGGGTTTTCTTTCTTAAACAGAAATCAGATGCGACTCCAAGCTGAAAACATTCATCAAGCAAGTGGAAGTATAGTTGATGAAAATAGTAAGGAATATAAGAAGTGACAATGGTTTGGAATTCAAGAATAATGATTTTGAGAGCTTTCTGGATGACAAAGGGATAACTCATAATTTTTCGGCCCTTATACACCACAACAGAATGGG